CGGCCTTGGAATCTCCATGCCATCCTCACTTTCTCAGACACGCCTCTGACACCCCGGCCTCCCCGGGTCCCTTATCGTAAACTTTCCTGCTGCCGGTGTGAGCCCTGCGCCGTCCCCATCACATGGTAATCGAAGCGAACGGTGACCGACATAGTTATAATGTTGCTCTCACCTGTGTGGTTACTTGGTTCCCATCTGTCTCATCCAACAGACCACAAGCCCCATGAGGGCAGGGACCGGGCTTGTTTTTTGCGTCATTGTATCCCCAGGATGCACTGTATCTCCGAGTACCTGACACAGTGGGCAGTCAGTCCATCGCCATCTGCTGAACTGCTCAGTGCACGAAGATATAGCCCCCGCCCTCACGGAGTTGCTTTCTAGGGAAGGGATAGGCCAGGAAATAAGCAAATTCAACCCAGAAGTCTGTGATGAAGTCATCAGACGTTGGCAGGACACGGAGCACCGAACACGCTCTTCGGAGGTCGGGGTGCTCCAGGAGGAGGTGGTGTCCAGGGTCCTTCCGGGAGAGCTGAAGGGTACCTGAGAGCTAAGTGAATGAGCGATGGAAGGGAACACATGGGAAAGTGGAGGCTCCAGGATGGGCTGGGGGAAGACTGAGAAATGGGACCGGACAGCCTCAAACCCCTCCTCCCTGCCTAACTCTTCTGCTACCTTCTTTCTAACTCCTGCTCGACCCGGGCTAAGGCCTTGCTTAAGGGACCCCCATCACAAGGAGCCGCTGCTGGCTCACAAGTCAGGCGACCAGTCATCCCAGTAGGACCAGGACCATCTTGTTTTTAGCACTGAAAATCCCACATCCTGGGAAACCCCTGGTTTCTGTACACACCGGACAGCTGGTCGCCCTGCTCGGGGTTTGTCCGTGACTGTCCAAGCCACCTGGAGGGAGCAACTAGGCATCTGACCACTTCGGAAAGACCCCTGGACTGGGGCCGTGACCCCTGGGTTTGAGTCCTGGGGAAGTCACACCTCCCCTCCCTTCTCAGGCCTCCCTGCCTCCCACGCAGCTGCAAGGGCCTAATGAAGAGCATTGTCTATACAGACATCTCACAAGCTTTCGAGTGTAAGGAATTTTTATTGTCATTCCTCCCTAGACCATTCAGGCCTGGAAGCACTGGAAATCTCTGCAGGGCCCCGTCTAGGACTCAGGGTGTCTGCTCATGTCACTCTGTGCCGAGACCGATGATCTGCCATCGGGGTGGCCACAGCCAAAGCCCTCGGATGGCCGCCTCCTGGGCTCCTGGTCTGGCCACCTCCCCTCCAGCTCGTACCTCCTGTTCCTATCACTGAGGGAACAGACACATTCAGAGTTCGGAGCAATGAAGCACTCTGTAAAACGCTTGCCTGGGGAGAAAATCTTCCTCTGTCTTCAGGGAGGGTGCATGCGATGCAGCAGAGCTGTCCAGTGGGTCTCTCCAAGGAAAACATGGGGCTTGGGGGAGGGGGAAGGGGCGGCCGGAAGCCAGGAGGCAAGCACACTGGGTGGGGCCCTTCCTCCTCCTGAAAGCCCGGAGCCTACATCCTCCCCTCTAATCTCCTTCTGGAATCCCTCCTTTTCTGTGGCAGCCCGGGGCTGTTTACGCTGGTCCACCTCCCCGGCTGGGTGGTTCGCATCCACACAGCCAACGTAGAGGTTGCGTGTGACCCGTGACCGCGTCTTATACACCCAGGCTGTGAAATGAATCCCGAACAGGCCTGGCACTTCTGTGGTTCTGTGGCTTCCGTGAGTGTTAAGTGGGCTTGACAGTGAGTGGCTCCAAGGGCCTTGGGGCAAGGTCACCAGAGAAATCACGGGGTGCCCAAACGTTACACGTGCCAGACTCATACTCGAAAATATTGGTCATTTGTCTGAAATTCAAGTTTAACTGGGCAGCTTGCATTTTTATTCGCTAAATCCGATAACTCTCTGAGTCTGTTTTTCACTTCCTGAGTGGGACAGGCCG